GAAAAGAAAGACACACACTCACAGATATCGGTCCCTGAATATGTCTGATCCATGAATTACTCTTTGGAAATTGGTGGAAACGTCAGAAAGCAGCTACGACCTCACAACGTTAAAGAAAACGATAAAAACGATTTCCTGGATTCTTCCCTTTGTCCGGATCCACTACAAGATTTAATGAGTTCTTTCTCCATCCGCCGGGTTCTGTGGAAATAGTTTTTTTTTTTACATTTTGTTGCTTAGAAACAAACAGACAAAAGGGGTGAAAACAAGAATTTTAATTGATTACATTGGTCAATAATGATTAATGATGATTAATATGATCACTATTTGTCCTTTATCCTAGTGTTTTTAAAAAATATATATTTTATTCTGTTTCTCTCGGCTGCTGTGACATTTTGATTTCCACGTGTGGGACCAGGGAAGTTCTGCAACATTCTTAAGCAAAGATGGAAATTGTGTCTGCAGGTGGTTCAGACACTTTTCTGCAGTTTTGTTTGGATGATGACGGTCGTGACGTGTCGTCTTTTACTCCGACCAGGGTTCGAATTTCACTGACGCAGCTAAAGAGGAGAGTTTAATATCGACCTCCACCTGCACCCCCACTCATCCACATGGATCTGATCTCACGTTACTGACAGACCTGCCACTCACACACACACACACACACACTAATCCTGCTCTATGGGGCCTTCCTGAGTGGGAGGTAAAAAGAAAAACGCTCTGAGCCGTTTTAACTTCGTCGTAATTTAGAGTTTTCTTTGCTCGATCATCTGATGGCTTCAGATGCAGCTCACATGTGTGAAAATAAGTTTAAAATTAGAGAACCGCTCAGTAGAGCTCGTGTTTCTCCTCCGAGGGTTTAATGTTGACAGCAGTTTTATTGTTTATTGTTTTATTGAATCCGGTGCCACATGTTACCGACCTTGCAAAATAAGAACTGAGGGTATTGTCCGTGTGTGCAGCCGCCGCCGCCCTGAACGACCTCCCTAATCTGCACAAGGTCAAACATGTTCAAATCTATGAGCAATCATCAAAAGCGTAATGGAAAATCTCCCAATGTTAAAGAAAGTGGAAAAACAAATCCTCTCATCATATTATGACTTCATTCTCGTAATATAACGATATTATTCTCGAAATTTAAAAAAATGCAAGAATCTCTTCAGCTTTACTTTCAACTTTTATTCAACGGGGCTCAAACGTAATCTGTCTGGATTATATCAATCAGCTCAACCACTGAAGCTCTGGAGTAAATTCAGCAGAATCTCTGGAGGATTTCTGGTTTTTAAATTTTAACACACTCTCGTTTTCCTCCCACTGTTTCATACAAAAGTTTTTTGCCTACATTTAATTATTTCTCTGGAAACTGAGACAAAGGTGTTGATAAGCGATGAGACCAATTTCAGGGTGGAAATTTTTTTTTTTTTTTTAATTCATTTCCTGTGTCAAATTATTCAACGTGAATTCCCATGTAGGCAGACTGCTCGGCCAACTCCTCATTAGACGTTTCTGTTTTCCCCGCCGCCCGAACACTCGCCTCTCTTCACACACCAGTCCTGTTGTGTCCCGCTCCTCCGCCGCCTCCGCTCAAAGCAGCAGTTTATTTCCATCTTTATCATTTCATCCGTTCCCCCCAATGATAACATCAATGAATGCATTAGCTCTTGAAAAAGAGATGAAGGCAGCGAAAAGAGACAGATTCATTCTCTCTCTCTCTCTCTCTCTCTCTGCACATATCAGATGTACTGGATGCCTCGCTCGGTCGAGTCAGGCATATGGAAATAGAGCTGCAGCAGATGACTAATGAATAATGAACAATGGAGAGGAAACCGCTCTGTCGTACAAACAGAGGTGTGATGTTGGAGACGGGCCAGCGTTCAGGCCCTGCTCAACACGAACTAACGCTGAGTCGTGTCTGGAGCACGTGTGCACGGCATCAGTTTACCTCCACTCAGACGTCTATTAGCTCATCAAAAGCTCGGGAGGCGCATAATTTATGAGACGTGCTTTGCTGGGTTCAGATTGAGATCTGTCGATGCAGGGGGGGGGGGGGTTTACATGCATCTCTCAGTGCAATTCATTAGCAATGAAGACTCGACTGTTCCCAGAGGACAGGAAGGTGGAGGAAGTATCTGAGCTGCTGATGCACTTTGAATTGTGGATCTAAAGTTTGGTGCAGATCGAGGACGTTCTCAAACCAAAGTGAACGTCCTTGTCCTCCTCAGACATTAAGAGCTGCTTCTTCTTCTTCTTCTGTTGTTTAATTTTGTCTCAACCTCCTTCCCAGACCACCTCTCCATCGGGCGAAATTTTGTTCCTTCTGTTCCTCAATTATCTCAAACATTTAAAATCCCCATTTGTGAGGACACTTTTTTGAAACGGAGATGAGAATCCTTAAATTAGACCCAAGACTCTGGAACCCGGTCTGATCATCTTGCAGATAGAAAAACTCATCTATCATCTGCATCTTGCTCTCTGCTCTGATTCCAACCCACAAGTTCACACATCTTCTGGTAGGTTGAGCTGAAGTGGTTACAACAGGGGAGCGGGAAACGGCAACACCTCGTCAAAAGAAAACGACTTGTGAGAAGTGAAACGGTGAGAAAATGAAGCAGGGGAGACGGTGGAGTTAGTGGTGAGCTGAGGGCCTCGTCTTCATCACATCTGACTGTCCTCTCTCTCTCTCTCTCTGTAGAGCCTTTAAACACTGAGTGTGTGTTACCGTGACCTAGATTTCAAGTGTGCAGTGCAATGCAAGTGATGTGTGTGTGTGTGAGTGTGTGTGAGAAAGAGATGGCTCAGACTATGGTTAACCAAACACCTTGTTCTTTCCCCCACAGTCACTCAGACTTCCCCGTCGCACACACTCACACCCTCTAATTTGTGTTTTGTCTTGTTCAGTCAGTTTCCGTTACCATCAACATCATTGACAACTTAATTGCAGTTAAGTCGAGAGAAGAGGTATCCTGCCTTTTTTTGTTTTTTGCGGATGATGCGGTTCTGTTGGCTTCATCATTGCATCCGAGTGTGAGGAGGTCGGGGTTGATGGTCGGCAACTCAAAGTCTGAGGTCCTGGTTCTCTGCTGGAGGTGGATTCATACTCTCTGGGGGGTTGGAGGGAGTTGCTGCCCCTGGGGAGAGAGAGAGACGTCTGGGATACCCCGCTCGGTGGGTTACCGGATGGATGGATGATATCAGCTCCACCTGTCTGATGGTTAGGATTCATGTCTGTAATGATGATAATGATGAAAAACAGTTTAGTGTTTTTCTGCCCCTGTCAAAACTACACGATTCCCTCAGTGTCTTGTTTATTTGCTGCTTTATTGGAATATTGGAAACATTTGGACGTGATTTAAAATCAAAGCTGAGCTCTGAATATCTGCTGAAACGTCCGTGTGACGGATCGTCGCCTCGTCAGAGACGAGCTTTGGTCGATCGGACTCTGACTGACAGGTGATCTGTCGTCCTGTCGCCTCTGGGATGTTTTATCCGTCAGAGCCTTTTTGCGAGTGAAACTATTAAAACCACAGCAGCTGAAAAAAAAGAGACGTCGACTCCCCGTCTGCTCTCACTCACGTGAAATTAAACGTCTTGTGCAGTCGTCGGCTGTCGCGACTTAGTTTGTATTCACGCGCAACGCAGGGGTCCTGCACAGCGCACGTTTGATAATGAGGTTGCCTGGCAACAGTATAAGGTAGCAGCTCCTCCGAGTGACTCACTGCAAAGTGTCAGAGTTGGAGAAGCTGTGTGTGTGTGAAGCTATTAAATAGATTCTGCAGCAGCCACACAGAGCCGCTGAGGCCCGACACGTCTCGCTGCTGAATACAACCTGAATGTGAATCACTGCCTTGAATTGAATTTGAATGAAATTTATTTCTATTGGCTAAACAAGGCGAGCAACACGAATGAATCAGCTCATCGGGTCGTGTGCTGCGTGAACGACTAAAGACTAGTTTTTGCTTCTTAACGCGGCTCCAGTGATGCTTCTACGTGAAACGGCCATCGCCACCAGGCAGAGGCAATAAAACCTCTTCTTAATGGATCCACAGTTTCAGTTTTAATGTCACGTCTTGAGTTTTCTTTTTTTCTGGACGAACCTCATTAACTTTTCTTTATCAAGTCTGAAAGTCGAGGAGGTTAAGTTTTCACCCCCCGTCCGTCGGGGTTTGTTTGTCCGCAGGATTTCTCAAAAACCATCCAACAGATTTCCAGGAGATTTGGAGGAAAGATGGTGAATGGGATAAGAAAGACCGGAATCAAACTCTGATCCAGGAATGTTTCATCGCTTTCTTTAACACTGAGATTTCCTCAGGATGAGTTCATGGATCCTGGAGGACTGAGGTCTATGAGACTGAATTCTGCTCCTAAAACGATCTTCTCTCCTTCCTCTATATTATCAATCTGAACAATAACCTGATGGATGATTGTGTCAGAAGTACTTTAGAGGATTCTGTCAGTTTGTTGTTCTCAGTAACTAGAGGCGGCTTTTTGAAATAAATGTCCTCCTGTTTTTTGTATAATACAAAAGCACAATATTCTGCAACAGGGTTTTGATGCAGGAGCACGTCTGCGGCTTCTATAAATAAACCTCAGGTAAAAGCAGTCAGACGTGTAAATAGCTCCTGAATAAAGGACTGATTCATTCTTTCATGTGAGGAGAAAAGACGAAGCCGAAACTCTTTATATCAACAGACATTTTTATTCTAAGCAAAAGAGATAAATTGCAGCTTTTGTTTACGCACTTCAGTCTTAAAAACCTTCGGCTGAATTTACCTTCGCTTTGTTTTGGAAAGCAGAAACTTAATTCATGTGTAAATGTTCTGCCAGAAGATTTTATGGAATTTATTAATGCAAACCATCATGATTTTTATTATTCAAGTCCTGGAGGTGATATTTTAGATAAAAACATAAATTTAGTGAGTTGTGTTCCGTCATGTTGGTCGAAACCTGAAACCAGGAGAGAACAAATGTCCCGCTGAGAAGAAAAGGACGAGACAAAAACATCAAAAATCAATAGAAATTTATTCTCTGACTTATCAAAAATATCTGCGACACCTTTGCATAGATGGACACAAAATAGCTTCGATGATTGTTTCACGTGATTGTAACGATGAGGAGAAAGAGCACAAAGTATTTTGGAGGGCGTTTTTCTCTCAGGCAGCACGTGGGACACCTTTTTCTGTTTCCTCTATGAAACTGTGAATCTGAACAACAGCAGTTTATAGTTTCTGTTCATGAAATAATGAATTCGTCCTCCGTGTTTAGTTTCAGGGGAAGAAGGAGCTGATATTAATAATTTGATAAAACTCTTCAATTCACTACTCAGCGTCCGAATAGATAAGATTACTCCTTATAAAGAAGGATTACAATAAATACTACAAATATATTACTTCTTGGGTTGTTAAATACTTCTCAAATATATTTTTTTCCAGAACCAATTATGTCACAAAAAAGCAGAAAAGGTCTCTATAGTCAATAATTATTTTAACTTAAATTGCTATAATGCTCCTCTATCACAAATAACGTGGGAATGAAAAGTAAGAAATCAACATAAACTGTTCTCGGCTTCTCAGACGAACTTCTTCACAGATCAGTCAAGCACATGGATCCTCTCCCGTGTGTTCGGTTCCAAGTTTATGTGGGAACTGTCGTCACATTTTCACGCAGACAGTCGCCCAGAAATTAAATCCTTCAACTTCTCTCAGGGAAAAAATCCTCCAGAATTCTCTTTGTCGTATATATATTCCTTCTTCTTCCAAGTTGCAAATTCCACAAAAACTTAAATCCAACACGTCCACGTCGTCCACAAACACAGTTTTTTTTCTCTTGGCGTTCCTCTCCCTCGCTGCTCCGAGGTCAGTTGGCGTACTGCCTGTAAAAGGCGACCTTGACGCGCTCGATCTGGTGACACAGCTTGATGGCGGGGCCGAGCTTCAGGTCCATACACTCCTGGACTGTGGGCAGAGTCAGCAGCAGCAGGGCCTGGCCGTCGATGTCCTGCACCAGAACAGATGTGAGTAAATATTCAAGAACTGGACAAACACTTTAATTCACTTCAGAGCGCTCGTGCATGCATGTGTGTGTGTGTGTGTGTGTGTGCGTGCATGTGTGCGCGTGCACCTGCTCCTGGAAGATGTTGGCCAGAGATGCACAGTCGGTTGAGTTGATAAACTGAACGACTTCATCTACGCTCCACTCCAGAGGGTTTCTGTCCAAAACCAGCTGATCCTCCTCCTCCTCCACCTGAGAAACACACACACACGTTAAAAACATGCTTTCTGTCCATGTTAAAGAGTCAACACCAAACTTGAATGGCTTCTTCCCGGACACACGTCCTTGTCCCATGTTTGTCGACAGTGAAGACAGAACCTCCGTCACAGTCTCACCTTCACGTCTTGTTCCTGCGGCAGCTGGTACTTGTTCTGGTTGTGGGCCGACAGCGAACGCGTCGACCTCCTGCGGCCCCCGGGGGCCTCCTCGCTGCCCGCCGCGTGTCCCGCGCTGAATGCCCTGCGCAGCGCCGCCGCCCGGCGAGGACGGCTGCTGGCCACCTCCACCGAGGACGCGTCGGTGTGGTCGTCGCGGGGCTCAGAGCTGTTGCCTTCGCTGCCCGACTGCATCGCCAGCTCTTCGTCCTCCTCTCCCTCGTCACTGTCCTGAGGGATCAGATGATGGATCACCACAGAGAGAAAGTGGGCACACGCCTCGGGCCCTGGACCTAGTGGGGCATTTTCCAGCCCCTCCCCCCCCTCCCAGTAAAATGTCCCAAAAAACATCTGAGTGAGTCCAGGTCAATTCATTTGTCAAACAGATGTTGGGGCTGTGCTGCGAGAACAGAGCGGGGACATTTCTGGAACGTTCACAGCGAGCAGGTGGGCGTGTTGATGACAGTTTAACACACAACAGACACAAATATCTCAGAGACATTTTCCAAAGTTCACGTCTGAAATAAGCAAAAGAAACGACCGACGGATTCCGAGTTCATCCTCGAGGTTGACGGTTTTCATGTCGTGTCGCTGAGACGAAAAGTTCTAAGTGGGTAAATCCTCTAAAAGACATAAGTCACGTCTTCTTCTTCTTCCTGTGTCTCACGAGTTTGTTTCTATTAATACACTGAATAGATTTGAACCTGACGTGTGAGCAGGAGCGAACAGGACGACGTGAGAGAGGGAGGAAAACAGAAGAGAGAAAAAAGAGAGAGGAGTGTTGTCTAACCTGCGGTGAGCCAGCGGGAGTGAAGTCCATGGCGGACGAGCGTCTCTTCTTCTGCACAAAGATGGCTTTCCTCTTCTTCCTGCGGCGCGTCGGCTTGGCCAGCTCCCCCTCCGCCGCCTCCTCGCCTCCCGTCGGCTTGGACAGCTTCCTCTTCTTCCCGTAGTAATAAGCTGCGGACGTTTGAAAACAATTCAACACAACACGTCAGAGACAATTATCGTCTTTGTAGCTGTGGCGAGGGGAAGTGAGGCACATGATCACGTGACACTCACTGTATTTGGTCTTGGTCTGAACCGAGCAGTTCTCTGGGCACTTGTCGGCGATGAGGACGGGGCTGAAGAGGTTGGGGCAGCACTGCAGCTTCACGCACACCTTGCGGCAGAAGTCCGGGATCTGGTCGGCCAGGCGGACGATCCGGATGGTGGAGCGATAGGTTTTCCCTTTATATCTGGAGGAGAGGGTGTCGTGACATCGTCAGACTGTGAACACACTTTTATTTATGAGGACAATGGATAATGAAATGATCTGTAATCCGTCAAAGCACTGGACAGGGGGCGATTATGTCTGTGCGGTCGTGATTTTTAGGAGCAGGCGTGAATTCAGAGAGCGGTCAAATTTACCGTCGCCCATCTGACGCTGAAGGTCAGAGACGTGAGCTGAGCTGTCGGACGACAAATCTGAAAACTTCTTAAACATCCAATCAGATGAACAGATGATGAGATGAAATTATTTGTGTAGATCACTTGTTTGTTTCGTTCTATCTTCTTCCAGCAATCTAGTTTTATTTTATTAATATCTTTGAGTTCATTAAATAATTCAAACTTGATTTCTTGCTGATGATTAATCGATAATTTGAGAAATGGGACTGTTCAGACTTCACTGAGTATCATTCATCCTGTACTTTAAAAACAAATGATAGAATCTGTTCCGTCCTGTCGTGCGGTGACACCGTGTTTCTTTCTCCTCACTTGGCTTTGAGCGTCTCCTCCTGACAGTCCCAGCTCTGATCCTCCAGCTCCTGCAGCTCCTTCAGGACTCGTCCGGGCTTGTAGGCGGCGTTGATCAGCATGTTCAGCAGCTGGAGGCGAGAGCAGCAACAACGGATTTAAAAGAAATCAAAGCTCCGGGGTTTCAAAGGAACAACCGTCGAGAGGAGGAGCTCGCGAGAGGAGTCAGAGTGAGCTGCTCTCAACGTGACGGTGGGTTCCAAACCAAAAATCAGAAGAACGACCGAACACAGAATTAAATTTGCAAACACAGAAAACGAGTTCGAGCGCAAAAACTCAGTCTCTAGAGAAATTAGGATGTTGTTCTGCTGAGTGACTGTGTGTGTGTGTGTGTGTGTGTGTGTGTGTGTGTGTGTGTGTGTGTGTGTGTGTGTGTGTGTGTGTGTGTGTGTGTGTGTGTGTGTGACTGACAGCTCCTCACATTAAAATGAAGACACCGCTGGGAAACCTGCAGGTGGTTAACAAGACATCGCTGAAACCCAGCCCCCCCCCCCTGACATCAGCCCACCTCTTTGAGCACCAACGTGCACTTCCCGGGTCCGACGGCCTGCGGCAGCTCGGCGATGCGCCCCTTGTTGAGGTAGGGTCCTGAGAAACAGCGGTGGTTGACAAAAATCTTGGAGCAGCAGTATCTGCCATTAGCTGATCCTGGAACAGAGGGAAGAGGGAAGAGGGGGGAACGTTTCTATCACAGGAAGTAAATGTTTGAAGGTGGTTTTAAAGATGTGACATCACCATCACTCCGTACAAGCCAGAGAGAAACTGTTTGTTTCTCAGTGTAAAGCGCTGATTTATTTTTTATTGTATTTTAAAAATACAAAGTGAAAACTATAATATATTCCTGTTTATTGCAGAGATGAGTCCAGGGTCGACTTAATGATACCGGGTCGCCCGCCGCCGGGCACCTGGAAGCACAGCGCCAGGGGTGGATGGTAATAAGGTGAGTTGATGAATATGTATGAGCCGGTGGGTGGTGTTTAAACAGGGGAGGGGATCATGGAAACTACATTTAGCCGCCCTGCTCTCTCTGTCCACGAACACCGTGTCCTGCGGTTTCAGTTCAGTTCTCACATCCAGAAAACACCCCGCAACACTTTTACTGGATGAAACGACGAGTTGTAAACCAGAATTACCAAACTAAAATAATGGCCACTTGTGCCGGCGTACATGAGAAGAACACAGAGATATAACACGTGATCCTGAAAAGCTTTTTTTATAGAAAGCCAGAAACCAAACGAGCCGTTAACGAGGATCTGACGAGCGTCAATTACTGGAGATCAATCATGTGTAACCGTGGCTTTTGATTACCTGGATCCATGACGACGGGGTGGCAGTAGTTGACGGGCGTCGTCTCCATCGGCTGGGACGGAACCAACCTGCAGGAGGGAAGGAGAGGGTGAGTATCAAACCTCAACGATAAAATCAATAAACTCATCCAGCAAACAGAAACCAGACGACGGTTCAATCAGCTGAGCAGGAGGCCGCTACAGAGGGTGAGGGAGAACGTAGCGGGGGGGACAAAGTGTGTGTGTGTGTGTGTGTGGGGGGGGGATTCCCCCGAAGGTGAGAAATGGAATTAGCCGTTATCATAAGAGCTGACAAAGTTCTGCAGACGAAGACATATTTCTCCTGCTCTCAAACCGCCGGGTTGGCATTTGTCTAAAAAAATCAATCGGCGCCCACGGGGGGGGGGAGGGGTCTGCTGTAAAAAGACACTGTTTCAATGAATGGCTGCGGAGCGACAGAGAGAGAGAGAGAGAGAGAGAGAGAGGGGAGAGATAAACCTTGAGGGTGTTAACCTCGAAAACTAATTAATACAATTAGATCCATATAAAAGTCCAGATGTGGTTTCATGAAGGGACAGTCAGTCGGATTCTTACTGTTTCTCTGGCTGAACCACTGCGATCTTCTTCTGCTTCTGGCCTGT